GCCCATTGACAATCCTATTCACATTATGCTTGAATCAGGTGGCTAGGTAAGGTACATTCTCTCTACTGAAAATGCAATTCCCTCTTCACTTATTAGCCCAGGCTTTTATCTGCAAATAACATAAATACTCCTCTTCTTGTATACTTATGTCATTAATTTTTGCTTAATCATTGTTTTTCACCTAATACTCCAAAAAGCAGGTGTATCTGACACTCTTGGTTACCCTCTCTTCTTCCTTGACAAAAATCCAGAATCTATTTGAATATCTATCCTTTCCATACACAACATAGGGTGAATCCTAACCAAGGCCAGCTTGTGATTGACTGAGACATGGAAAAGCGGGCAAAAGGATTTCTGGGGCAAGTGTCTCCACTCTTGAAAAGATGTAAGACAAGTGAGAGAGGCTCTCTCTGCTTCCACTGGATGTTATTATGTCTAGATGTGATGCCTGGAACTACAGCAGCCATTTATAACTATGAGGTTAGCTAGTCCAGGCAGAAAGAAGGACCTGTACCAAGGATGATGTCAGTGAGCCATCGACTTAACCAACTACACAAAATCTCTATTTACAGATTTCTAGTTGTATGAAATAATAGCTGTCCTCCTTGGTCTAGCAAGTTGAGTTTTCTATTGCTTAAAGCTGGAAATATCTAAAAAGGACACCAGGAAATGTGACTGTATACTTCACTTTAATTCATTTGTTCAAAATATATTAATTAAGCATCCATGATCACCAGGTATTACTCTAGAATGGAGGAATAGAGCAATAAATAGGCAAATTTCTGCCTTTATGTAGACTATGTTCTATTGGGGAATTTGCCTTGTGTAATGCCATGAAGTGGGAGAGAAGACACCCCGTGCTGGCAGAATGGGAAGAAAGCTGCATTTATCATGCATCAGGACATCTGTCAAAGGCTGTCTCATGTAATCACCAAAGTCATGTGGTAAGGTCATTATTAGGGTTCCCATTTTGCCAAAGAGGATGCTGGAACTCAGAGGTCATAAGTGGCAGAGCCAGGATGAGAAGCTAGATCTGACAACAACCCTGACACTCTTTCAGCCCTCCTGGACCATCAAGCCAGAAGGGTGGGGAGTGGGTCACAGTGGCGGGCAATGGAACACGGAGCAGATGTTAGCGTGCCAGATGAGGACATGTCAGGGACATTCGTCTTCTACCGGGGCTCACATCACTGTGTGTCCTGAAAGGACTGTAAACAGGACAAGGCAGTAAAATTCAAATGGATAAACATCTAGCAACTCTGAGATAAACAGAGCTTTTGATGAGCTGGTGGCATGGCAGGGAGGAATGAAGCTGATGTTCTTAAGGGTCTGTGATTTCCTGGCCTGTCAGCCCTGTTTCAGGATTTCCTGCTAGGGATGGGGTGCATGCAACATAAAAGACAAAAACAAAGCACTTCTGGACCACAGACAGGCTGATAAAGAGGAAGTGCCACATTATTCAAGAGCTGTGTGTTTTGAAATGATAACAAGTAAAGGAATCCTCCAAAAACTTCTGCTTGGGTGCTACCTAGTGACATAGTAATGGTGGCTTGCACTTATTGGTCATTTGATACATGCCAGGGAATCCGTTAAGTTCTTTCTCATAAGATCATATTATTAAGTTAATTCTATTGTCATTTCTGTTTTTACAGATGAGGAAACCAAGACAGAGAGTTTGAGAAATTTGGCCCAAGGTCTCAGAACAGGTAAGGGGTTTCTACCAAGTCTGTCTCTTAACTATTGTACATTTCCTGCTACAAAGGTTTTTGGAGCTTTGAGGCCCCTGTGTTTGCATTCTCCCTCTGGTCTAGGGCATGCTTTTCAGCTACTCAAGGTGAAGGACCAGTGTGCTTGCTTGTCTGTCTGTCTCTCTGTTTTACATGGACTGATAGAGTCCTAATATGGCAGAGTCCCCCATGTAAGACTCACACTTGACTTGTCCTACAAGACCACCCCTTAACTACTACAGTACAGCAATATCCAATCAGGACAGAGATTTCCAAACCTCCTTTCAGTTTCTGTGTTTGCTTCATTGTGGACCAGCAACAGACAGTGCACAGAGGGCCACTGGCCCAGACCACAGTGCTCAAAGCACTGATCTAGGACACGTAATCTATAGCTGCCTCACCCTGGAGAGGCAAGAAGGACCATTTAGTGATGAGAGTTTGTATGCACAAGTCTATCCCTAAGAAAAAAAGCCTAGGGCCAAGGATTTAGCTCAGTGGTTCCATCGCCTGCCTCTCAAGTGCAAGGTCCCGAGTCAGTACCAAAATAAAGCCTAACATTCAAATATCCAAATGCAACAGGGACAAAAGGAACCAAAGAAGGTGGTTCACAGACCTAAATCAGCCTCCTTTTTTTTTTTCCCCAGTACTGGAGATTAAACCCAATGCTATACCCCCGGCCCTTTTTCTTTTCTTTCTTTCTTTCTTTCTTTCTTTTTTCTTTCTTTCTTTCTTTCTTTCTTTCTTTCTTTCTTTCTTTTCTCTTTCTTTCTTTAGACAAGGTCTTTCTAAGTCCCTAAGTTGCCCAGATTGGGCTCAAATTTGTGCCTAGTTTCCCTGAGTGCTAGGATTCAGGTGTGTGCCACCACACTCAGTTCCATGTTATAAATCAGAGATGTAATTGTCAAAGAGTAGAAGAACAAAATAATGGTGGTAGTTTTAGTGAAAGCATTCATTGGAATAGTACATGCAGAGCCATTGAAGGCCATATGACTCAGATCAGGCTTCCATATCAAAATACCATAGATTGGGCGGCTTAAACAACAGACATTTATTTTATCTGGAGACTGGGATCCCCGATCAAGAGCCGACAGGGATGGTTCTAACAAGGACTTGCTTCCTGGCTTGCAGAAACCTCCTCTAGTGTCCTCACACAGCAGTGAGAGAGTGAGCTCTCTACTGAAGCTTTTGATAAGGACACTGTCTATGGCCATACCACCCTGAACGCGCCGGATCTCTTCTGATAAGGACACTAACTGTATCCAATAAGGGCCTCACCCTTATGACCTCCTTTAACCTAATTCCATCCATAAAGGGCTTGTCTTCCAAAGGCAATAACACTGAGGACTTTAATGTATGAATTTTGGGGAGACATAATTCACTCCATAGCGGAATGTTAGTTATTAAAGTTTTAATGGGAGAAAATACCTATAACGTTTAATAGAAAATAAGATAAGCACAAAAATTATATATCACTGTATGATATTACCTCTCACACATCAAAATCTACTATTAAGAAAAGGCTTTACATAAAAACATTGTCCTTAATTGTGCATTGGCACATCATTTTAGTTAGCAGCTTTCACTTAACTCCTGTACTTGTCTAAGAAAGCTGTTATAAATTCATTCTTACTAAAGTGTAACTGGCCAAGCGTGGTGCCCACCTGTAAACCCAGCACTCAGGAGGCTGAGGCAGGAAGATTACTGAGTTCAAAGCCAGCCTGGGCTACACAGTGAGTTCAAGGCCAGCCCATGCTACATAGTGAGACCCAGTCTCAAAAAACAAAAAAAGGAAAGAAAGAAAGAAAGAAAGAAAGAAAGAAAGAAAGAAAGAAAGAAAGAAAGAAAATGTAAATGATTAGTAACCTTTATAATATCCCAGGAAATATTTGCCTTTTAATAGGTGACATAATTAGCTGTTAGGAATTCCTTGTCAGATTGTAGTTGTTAGCTATGCAATCATACTTTGAAAGAAGGCAATGAATGAGGATTTTTGGAACCTCAGATATTAGGAATTCCTTGTCAGATTGTAGTTGTTAGCTATGCAATCATACTTTGAAAGAAGGCAATGAATGAGGATTTTTGGAACCTCAGATATTATTTGGTACAAGTCTCCCAAGCCTGTTAAATGAGAAAACTGGAGTCTCTGCCTATACCTTCAATCCATGAGACCAAATATATACATGGATGACTCATTCATCCACTTGGGAGCTGAATATGAGGAATCTTTTACTTACAGTATTTAGGATTTAAAACTGACCTACTTCCCAAAAGAATTTGAAAACATTTAAGAAAGTTAAAATAATTTGGTTAAAAATAGAATAGAATCAGTTTACAGTGGCCAAAAGATAAATATAAATATATTATTACAGTGGAGCAATGAATATAGTTTCCCTCCCAAAACACAGTATTACGTTTTAGCAATAAAAACATTGGAATTGATTGTATCCCCCCCTAGTGCTTCCTATAGTAGGTGTTCAAAATGAACAAATTTAGCCACCTGCCTTGCAAGCAAAGAATCTCGAGTTCAATCCCCGGTACCAAAAAAAAAAAGAACAAAATGAACAAATTTAATCAAAGTGCACCAACTTTAAGGTTTAGCTATTTCTCCCTCAGGAAACGTGAGGAAATCAATATCCAAATTATAAAGTATTTTGTAAATTCCAAAGCAATAGTTTATTCTGATCATCACTTTATTTTTTTCTTTCTTTCTTTCTTTTTTTTTTTTTTTGGTACCGGGGATCGAGCTCGGGTCCTTGCGCTTGCGAGGCAAGCGGCGGAACCACTGAGCTAAATCCCCGGCCCTCGTCACTTTATTTTTCCACTAAGGCATTTAAAGCCTGAAGTACATTAGGTGTAATCGCTTATAGTGTATTTAGAACTCAACAGACTTCCCTTCCCCTCACCTCCCCATCGGATGCTCCACATAGGTCAAATTTGGTGTCAAGCAAATTAAAGTGTTATTTTATTATACAAAGTAATTGTTTCTGTATTAAAAGGCCATTATGCTGAATCAGTTGTGTTGGTGATTATGCCATTAAGAATGTGGGGCTATCAGTTAAGCTGAATGCTCATGTTCATGAAAATCTCCTTTAAGCTCTCCTATATGTGGCAAATCATTCTTAACTGGGTACTCCAAATGGTCTGGGTACCTCAGATGTATTTTTCTAAGCCATTAACACATTGAATCCCCTTCCCCAATTCCCCAGTGGATCATTAATTAACAGGGTAAGAAGAAAGAACCAGGCTTCCCATTGTGATGTGTCAGGGACTAACCTTTCAGCCATGATGGTGCTCAGAATCAGCCAGCCAATGGAAATCTTCTATTCACATCAAATGTGCTATGATAAGAAGTAGAGAGGAGAGTATTTTAAATAGTGCCTTTAGTAAGAGCCTTTTTATTTAAAAAAATCTGCTGGATACGAATACTTCTTTGAAAGCCTCACGAAATCTCAACATCATTAAGGAATTTTGAGGCAAATTCATTAACTTGGTCTTTAAGAAGTCCCCATTTAAAAAAAAAAAAAGAAGTTCCCATATTTGATGCATTTGTAGATTCAGTGCTTACAAATCCTGCTGGGTTTCCTCTTTTACAGATGAGGGAAAGACGCTTAGAGAGACAAATCTACCCACACCCTCATGGCATCCTGAAAGCTATATCAAAGATCCAATTGAGTTTGTCTCTAATACACAGGCTCCTATCATAGTCCAACTTCCTGAAGCCACAACAACCCAACGTCAAGCTTACACTTTACACTGGGGGTAACCTGTCTCAGCACACATCTAAGAACTAAATGGTTAATTATAAAGCAACAAAACTCTATAAAATTCCCAGAAATAAACAGGTAAAATCGATTTGTGATACATACATGTGCACACACACACACACACACACACACACAAAGAACACTCAAAGAAATCTTTT